TGAGCCCGATATGACACACCGCCCTCCCGGTTTTTTAAAAAACTGTCAGCCGGCATAGGCTGACCCCCCTCCCTCTGACCACCCCCTCCCCCTGACCAACCCCCCTTCCCTCCCCCCAAGAACGAGTATAAAAGGACTAGCGCAACGCGAGGGAGCTCAGTATCAGAGTCTCCCAGCCCTGATGAAGCAGACTGCAACGCCTGCGAAACGTCGGCACCACATTGCAAACGGACGCGGCAACCACCCGGGAGCCATGACGACTAAAGAAGACAACAGCCGCGAAAGCCTGAAAGCCAAGATTACAAGCCTCCACGGAAAGGCAACTCTCGGGTCGCTAAACCTTTTCACAAAACTAATCAGAAACTCTTCAGGGTCGCCAGCAAAAATTAAAAACATATAATTTGGTTGACCATATCTGGCAATTTTTAATAATTTCGTATCGCTACGTTTCGACCATGGGTTTTGGTCCTTTTCAAGCAAGTGTAACTGCAATTTTAAATTTTACAGATTGATACAGTGTTAACATTTGTGATATTAGTTTGACGGTTGTATAAATGTGTATTATCTGTATTAATCGTGCATAGGATCACGTGTATTTAGTGGTGTTGTGAGGATGGTCATTATAATCCTAAACTAAATTCGAGAGTGTTATAGAAAGAGAGAAGCCACAAAGATATTTTTAAATAGACATATGGACTTACATATTACGTGAACTTATCTTGAGCACTGACAAAACATGACTGACTAAAATTCGATATGTAAAGGGTATCGGTGCAAACAAGTAAAAGTCAAATAATAGGTCAAGCAATAAATAACATAAATGAATAAATAGAAGATAGTGTCAGAATTAAGTTAAATCTATGATTCGGTCATAAATATCGTTGAGATTTTCCGTGTCATTTTGTAAATTGATTGTATCTTTAGTCCTTTTTATAAAAACCATTTCGGCTATCTCTCTCCTTCTTGTGTTACTCTCTCTGTGTAATACATGCGGAGTAGACCAATCGAAATCATGACCCAGTGATGTACGGTGTTTACTGACCACTGAGTGGTTGCCTACGTGTTTCATAATATCTTTCGCATGTTCATTAATACGAGTTTTTAAATGTCGCTTGGTCTGTCCAACATATGAAGCGTTACAGTACTTGCAGTCAATCTTATATACTACTTCTACCTTTTGGTCATTGGTCAAGGCATCCTTTTCTTTTTTTATGATACAATCGAGTTTTTTTGGGATGGTCAATAACGTGTTAATGCCGACTTTCCTAAGCTTGTGGTTAACACTTTCACTAACACCCTTGATGTATGGGAATCTTATATATCCACGAGGATCAAAAATTTTTGGCTGGTCATTAGTGTTGTTTTGGAATTTAATTTGTTTAAGTCTCGATTTAATATGTTTGTCGATGAGTTTAGTAGGAAAGCAATTATTTGTTAAAATGTTTTTTACAATTTGGATGTTATCTTGGTGGAAACGGCTGTCAGATAAGATAATTGCTCGGTCAACTAAGTTTGCTATTGTATTAACTTTATATTTTAGAGGATGGTTTGAAAAAAAGTTAACATATCGTCCAGAGAATGTGGGTTTTCTGAACCAATTAGTAATTAATCCATCGCATCTTTGGACGGTTGTATCTAGGAAATTGATAGAATCATTGACCTCTGTCTCGTGTGTAAACTTAAGTCTAGGGTGGTAAGTGTTAAAAGCTAGGAGTATGTCATTAATTTTAGATGTCGGTACTATAGTGAAAATATCGTCAACGTATCTATGAAAAGTCGTAATATTAAAATTTAAAGACTGCAAGCACTGTGTCTCCAGATCATCCATCACTATGTCCGCAAGTATTGGAGACAATGGAGATCCCATTGGACTACCGAAGACTTGTTCATAGTATTTTCCACAGAAGCGAAAGCTGGTCGATTCCAATATCAATTTGATGACATGTAAAAGCTGGTCTAAGGTGAAGATTGTAATCTTAGAGATATCACACCATCTTTTTTCTATTGCCTTGATCACTAACTCTGTTGGAATGTTAGTGAACAAGGCCGTGACATCTAAGGAAATTAATATCTCGTCATCCTTGATTCGCCTCTGTGTGATGGCTTTTACAAACGACCAACTATCTTTGATGTGAGATGTTGGTTTTTGTAAGGATTTGATTAATATTGCGTGGATGAAACTTGCGACATTATAAATAGGACTTCCTAAGGTCGAAACTATAATGCGCAAAGGATATCCAGCCTTGTGGATCTTCGGTAGTCCATAACATCGTGGTAGATTTCCATTGGTGCAACGCAAGTTTCGGTATGTGTGGTCATCGATAATATTGTTGTCTAGCCACGACTTCACTAATGAATTAACTTTTGTCGTTAATTTATTTATAGGATCGTTTTTTATTATTTTGTATGTAGATTTGTCACTGAGTAAAAAAGTCATGTTGTTAATGTAGTCTTGTCTGTTCATTATAACTGTCACTTGGCCTTTGTCAGCTTTGGTAACTAAAATGTCATTATTATTGTATAGATATTTTTTACAAGCAGTAAACTGATTTAGAATGTACCTGTCTAACGGATTTTGATGCTTTGTTTTGCATAAAAACCTATGAAGAGAAGTAGCTACTGAACCTCGGATTGATTGGAGTTCATTAGTAGGTAATTTATAGCAATTCGTTTCAAAGTTTTTTAATACGTCTACCACTGTGTGAAGTCTGTCGTGTTTGTTAGTGTGGTCATAAGGTAGGCCAAAATTACTGCCTAAACTGAGAAATTCAGAGATAGTGTTAGGGATGTGTTTGTTGCTAATGTTCAAAATCCATTTGGATCTATCAATGTTTTTGAAAGTGTTTAGTTGTGTGCCGTGTCTAGACATTACATTATTGAACTTGTTGGACAGTCTAATTTTGTGATCTAGGTTGAGGTTATGTAATTTGAGTTCGTTATAATCGAGAAAATTGTTGACCACCGATGTAGGTAAATAAACTTTTCACAAAACTTAGGAAGTTCTTGCACTTACAACTGTGCTCCTTAGCATTCCTGAAACGGTGCCGCGACCACCAGACGGTACCGAAATTCCTACAAATAAAAAGCCCCTTCCCGCCCTCCAAACAATCCACAGCCATCCTGAGACAAGCGTCGCTGAGACTACTCAGGGAGAGAATCGCGACAACCAAAAAGGGCCTAGCCGAGACTTCCAAAAAACTTCTCGAGCTACATCTATCCCTCTCCGACAAACTAGAACCGGACCTGTGGCAAACCATAGACCGGATCACACACGAGCAAGCCACCCGCTCGGCAGAATTAAGAACCAAAACACAAAAAGAAATATTTGCAAAAATGAAACCACACACGCAAACAGCAGCTCCTCCCCTGACAGTAAAGAACCTTAGTAGTCAGACCCTTTCACCCGCCGAAACAGCCATCCTTGCCAAAGGACACAACTTTGCAGTCACCCCCTCCAGGATCCCGACAGAAGAGATCATCAGCCAAATAGAAACCGCCATCTTCCATCTCCCACCTGAAGCAGGAAACAACATCAGACAGCAGTCAGCCCAGATCCTCCGAAAAGCCAAACTTTCCATCCAAAACATTAACAGGGAAGAACGACTAGCGCTTCGAAGCATAAAACAGAATGACGACATCCTCATCCTACCGGCGGACAAAGGCAACACAACAGTGGTGATGGACAAAAAAGACTACCACAACAAAGTCAACACCTTGCTGTCCGACGCCCAAGTCTACAAAAAACTAAAACGCGATCCAACCACTAGCGTAGAGAAGAAAACCTCCTCCCTGATCAAAAAGGCGAACCTCCCTCCGCTAACCACGAAATACCTGACCCCCAGTGACAGCTCAGCACCCAGACTATATGGCCTCCCGAAGATCCACAAAGAATCAGTCCCCCTACGGCCTATCGTCAGCAACATCGGGGGCCCCACCTACCAACTAGCCCGCTACCTCACCAAACCCCTCCAAAAACTTACCGGCCTCAACGACTCCCACATCAGGAACTCAACTGGACTTCGTGAACAGAATAACCAAGACAAAAACCAAGCCCAACGACATCCTGGTAAGCTTCGACGTGGTTTCCCTGTTCACCAACGTCCCAGTCCAAGACACTCTGGACATCATCAGAACATCCAAAGAGATTCCATCCACCCTGTTCCCATTAATAGAACACTGCCTCAACTCCACCTATTTCCGGTTCGAAGGAGAATTCTACGAACAAACCACGGGAGCAGCAATGGGATCCCCGATATCACCCATCATCGCAAACATCTTTATGGAACACTTCGAGAATGAAATCCTGAAGAAGGCCCCACTAAAACCCTCCACATGGTCCCAGTACGTGGACGACACCGTCCAGTACATGACGACCTTCTTCATCTGGAACCACGGAAGGGAAACTCTACCTCATTTCCTCACTTTCATTAACTCCCAACATCCCAACATCCAATTCACAATGGAGACCGAACAGAATTCCCAAATCCCCTTCCTGGATGTCCTGGTCCGTAGGAACGAAGACGGCACCCTAAGCCACAACGTCTACCGCAAACCAACACACACGGACCGATACCTCCACGCAAACTCCCACCATCACCCCGCCCAAAAGAATTCGGTAATCAGCTCTCTAGTCCACATAGCACTCTCCATTTCGGAACCAGCCGCCCTGAACGGAGAGCTAAACCACCTTCACCGAACCCTGACCAGAAACGGATACAGCAGCAGAAACATCAACCGTACCATCAAGAAGCTGACCAACAAGGAATCCGGCCAGAACAACAACACGACGCCAGAGACAGAGAAAGAGAAGATTAAGGCAGTAATACTCCCATACGTCAGAGGCACCACGGAAA